TCGCCAGGGACACGAAAACGCGAGCGGAGGAAGCCTGCACCGAGCAGGCATCCAAACCAGCTCCGCTGCTGTTTCCTCGCCCCCGGCGAAGCCTCCTTGCGCCCTCCAGATGGCAAGGCCAACAGGGTGAATTATTTTTGGCAGTCTCTGCTGAAGGTTTTTCCATGGAAACAGGCTCCCCTGCCAGCAAAACACCTTCCAGAGCGGCCTGCGCAGTGCAGGAAAGGAGCCCGGTGGGGACTACGGAGAGCTGGGAACGGCCCCAGCCTGCAGCCCCAGGACACGGCGAAGCCTCCTTGCGCCCTCCAGATGGCAAGGCCAACAGGGTGAATTATTTTTGGCAGTCTCTGCTGAAGGTTTTTCCATGGAAACAGGCTCCCCTGCCAGCAAAACACCTTCCAGAGCGGCCTGCGCAGTGCAGGAAAGGAGCCCGGTGGGGACTACGGAGAGCTGGGAACGGCCCCAGCCTGCAGCCCCAGGACACGCGTTTCAGCCCTCCGAGACCCCTGGTTTACCCATCCGCAGAGCAGGAGAAATGTCCCCCTTTCCCCCCGTTCAAGGCTTTTCTTGAGGCTGTGCCTCGAGATTGACTAAGGAGAGGAGGAGAGCGTCCCAAGACGGCTCAGAAACAGCCCTACGCGGTGGGGGATGCTGGAGGTGGCAGCGCCCAGCCCGGCGCGGGGCACGTCAGCCTTCAGTCCGGGACACCAAAACCTCTTTGTCCTTTCTGAAAACCGGCATCAGTGTCCACGGATCCTGCAGGGGGAAGGAGCACAAAGCCGAGCACAAACCTACATCGCATCTCGAGCACGGCCTGCCTTCTTCAGCCGGTGTCACAGGAAGTCAATTCCTAAGAGGATTTTTTGTCTTAGACAACAAAAATAAAATCCCGCTTTCCGGTAGCTATAAAAATCCTACGGAAAAACTTTCTCCCGCTCCAAGCAGAGTCTTAGAAACGTTCTGTCTCACTTGGCTTTGGCACAGCCAAGGCTTCCAGGACCATAAAACTCTGGATTGCTGCGTGGGTTCAATCCTGTTCCCTACCCGGAGCGTTTTTACACCACAGAACACAATCAGGACACAGAAAAAAAAGGGATGAGGGCTTCTCCACCTGATTCACCAGTGGACACCCCGGGCTACTGACTCGCTCCCTCTTTACCACCTGCACCCTTAAAATTCCTGGGAGGCACTGCAGGTATCAAAGCGCAGTGAGGGATTTGGCACATCTTGCCAAAAGCAAGCAGGACAGGAGGAGACAGCTCCTTGCGAAACATCTCTCTTCTCCTCCCGCCTAAGCCCCATGGCAGGGTTCAGAGCAGCTTCCCCAGTTGCTCACACCCAGGCCGACCAACGCACACCTGCAGTGGAGCAGCCGGTTTTGGGCCGGCTCCCACCACCGGGCCAGCTCTCCGAAGTGGTTTTGCTCCACACCCATCCTTGCAATGGCTAAAATGTGCATCTCGCGTGGCTCAAGAGCAGCCCGCCACATCAGCCCCCATCTACGCTGCCCCTTCAACC